ATAAAGTATTGTCATGAAAATCCTTCGAAACAAATCTGGGCTCATGTCCCGAACCACATTTTCGAAGTGTTCCTTAAAAATTTCGCGAGAATTGGGAAACAGGTTACCCTTGTGTACCCCCTTAATTTGTTTGATAAATCTACTGTAGAAGGAGATATAATTCGCCTCTTGTGATAGAGTTACATGCGAGATTAGTACATTGCTTAAGTGCATTACTTTCTTGAAGAAGTTTAGCCATATCTTTTATAGCAAGGTCAACAGTAATATTAGTAAATAAGTGTTTAATGTCATAACTGGGCATAGTTTTGACTTCAGAGAACTTGGTTCAGTTGGATGTCTGAGGATTTGGACGGACAGTTTCTTAATCCCTGCAAAAAAACCAGTTCTTAATGGAGATTATTGGTCAAAAGGGAATATTACGTTTATGTGTTTAATTATGCCGTGAAAATTCTGTGCCAGAGCTGCTGAATTAGAGAGATGTTCTCTCTAGGAGAAGAACTTGGAATCTAGAAAATCACGCTGGATAATACTCTGTAGAAGTGTTCACAGTTTATGGACAAGGAAAGAAGTAGAGTCGGTTTCTAGAGGAGAGAGGAGGTGTTGAACAGGTCCGGACGTTCGTTGGTATAATCTGTCGGTAACTTATGCATGGTAACCTTTTCAATTCCCTTATCTGCTTTGTTGATTATAATGTTCCTGGTTACTTGTAAAGAATTAATGGCTTTAAACTTTGTTTCAGTCAATGTTAGGTTGTAGCGGTTTAGTTATTAAAAAGGTTTGATGTCATCTATTAAGCGTTTTAAGTTATTATTAAGTTTATGGGGACTCAAACTTATTTGTTGGATGTTGCCCCAGTTTGGAGGAAAGATTTATTAGTAATAATGAAGTTTAAGCCTTTATTTAAAGCAGTTATCTGGTTCTTCGAAAGTTGGAATTTACTGAGGTTTATTGCAGTTTTACTGCAGTTACTGACGGAAAGAGTTATAGAACCTTTGCTGATGAAGGTTTTAGTCCGTTTAGGAAGAAGTTTGCGCAGTTTAAAGGCTTTGTATGCTAAGTTCTACGTACTGCTCTGTATTTTTTGTGGTTATGCGAACTAAAATTTCTGTATTTATCTGTTATTAGGTTTGCGATAAACTTTCGTTGTATAATTCTTGTCAGAGTTGATTATCACTGCATCAAGGATAGGATTACTGGAAATATTTTCTTTTTCGGTATTTCAGTAAGTGTTTTGTGGAAAGAAACCATTGAGAAGACTAAATTTTATTGTTACATCGCCGTTGGTACAAGGAAAGAAATGTCGTAAGAATAGTTCATAGTTGATGTACCCGTCCTGGATTTCAAAGTGTTTTCTGAAGATTTCTCAAAAATCTTCGAAAGTTGCCGACCCATGGGTTTGTTTGAAAGCACACCGTCCTATGGAAATAATACTCTTTTTCATGCAGAAAGTGGATCATTGAATGACAGAGTTATACGGCAATTTTTTTATTGACTTATCATTTCAAATTTTACGCCAATTGTTAATAGTAACGTCAATGGGAATATTTTTAGATAAGTCTTTAAAATTGTAGCTGGCCTTGAATCTCTCTGTAGAAAGCTTATTGATTTCAGTCTTTGCAGAATTTCCCGTTAAGAATCTGTGTTAACTGATGTCATAACCTATTATCATCAGAGATGAATGCTGATGGTGATTTCAGAATTTCTATTCGGTTTTCGAATTAAGGTATGCTTCGTTTTGACTATTTTCGTCATGTTCTCGTTTGTTATAACTCCGACGAGTCAGGTTGATTTTCCGGCATGATTTGCAACTAGCAAATCGAAAAAATTTGGCGATTTTGTTATATATTGTTGCAGATCGACATTTATCCATCGGTATTCAAACATAACTTTGTTCGATTCAGGCACCGTTTTGCGGTACAGATGCTAAAATTCCATAGAGCTGTGGTCTCTTTGAACTTACTTAGGCCATTAAACACTGGGACAGTGAACATAATCGAACGAAGTGACAGGAAATTGTGGCAATTTCTGTGTTGTTCTTGTGATTTCCTCTCCGGCTGAATAAGGTTTTTCTCCTAGAGTTGTGAGGTGCTCGCGATCATTGCTAACTTACCTGAATTGAACCTCGTTTCCTACGGCAGTGGAATGAGATACTTGGAACGGGTTAAGGTAGGCGTTTTTGTGTTTCGATATTC